TTGATACTTAAAACTCCACCCCGAATCTTAGCGGAACCCAATCTCTGTCCCACATGACCAGTCAGGTCATCTGCATATTCAGCTCAAAATCAAAACTTGCTGCATTGCAAACTCTGACAGAACCATATTCAGTCTAAATCCAAAGATTTAAACAGTTGGGGATTTTATGAGCACTGTACAGGTACGGAGGTGAGATGATGGCATACTGAAAGTGGCACAGACACGTGCAGGGAAGATGAACAAGGTGCTGACATATTAGAAGAGACACATCCATGTTGATAAATAATTACACTATTCAAAGTGCAAAGGGTACAATAAATGCACTAATACTGTAACCATTAAACTAAATGAGACGAGCATGTTCAGCAAAGTGTGGTTTCAGCAATGGAACAATGATGCATACTAGTGTTGGCATGAAACCAAAATCAGGACTTCGATACGATACCTGCCTAAAACATTACAATACTGATACTAAAACAAAACGACAACAAAAACTGAAACAATTCAATGGGTAAATAGATGACAGAACAACGCAAGCGGAATGATGCCATATTCCGTTTCGTACGTCAACAAGATGTGGATGGTTGGCAACAGCATTTGTACTTGCAGCCATGGCTCTCCTGTAATAGTGTGACATTTGTGTCCCTTACAGAAACTATACATTCACTTCCCTGAAAGGATTAAATTTTTTTCATCATTCCGCTTGTCCTCGGAAATATGATGAGTGCTGTTTCTTTCCGCGACTATGGCCAGTGCGGCATGTAAGGGCTGCTGCAAGCAAGCATATGAATGTTTGGACACTAAATGTTTGGACTGAGTGTATACGCCTACTGTGAACGAACGACTAAGTTGGAGAACGAGAGACCCAAAGGAGTGAAGGAGTTGTTGAATGAGTCGGGGAACGGGACACTCAGATAGGCTACCAAACGAGAGCCGTACCTCTGAAATATGGCTGAAATACACCATCTACTGGTGTAGTATATAGCCTACTTGTGCAGTGACTTCCAATATGCTATATTTGGATTTTAGAGATGCAACATTTTTACAATTTAACATTATTTTAACCAAGGTTTGTCAGCAGTCATTAGTTGACTACGTGATGAGATGTTAGGAGTGTTTTTAACAAACACGAGTAGTTAAGGTACAATGTTGAGAAACCTACACTAGAGTTCAGTAACAAATGTTTTTCTTGTCACGCGAGTTATTGATGCTATTTAGCTTACTCCTTAGCACTACTTATAGGTGATGTTTTTGGACATACTGGAACACAAGTGTTTCAGATCTCTTTCATGCAAACAGGAAGCGGCACTGAACGAGTTGGTGAACGGATCAGAACGGATCTTTTACAGCTGAATCAAATGAAGTGTGTCCCAAAAAAGGGACATTTCGAGCATCACTAAACCAAAAAAATGGTTGACACACCCACTGTGCCTCCAGAGAGCAGGAAAGTCGACGACTGACCCGCTTGTTGAACAGTGACACAAATCATAGGGAAACCTCTTAAAGTACTAATAAAACGGAAAATAACATGGTGTTTAATAACGAGGTATCAGAGTACTTTTTCAGTATTGGTATACCATGCAACACTAATGCACACCACTTCACCACTTCATTTTCAGATTATGTATTTCTATACATCTTTATTAATGATTGCACTGTTTCCATTCACCTCCAGGGCCTGTAAATGAGCGCCAACTATTGAACCGGAAGTGCACATGCAAACATTCAAATATGAATTAAAATTCACAGATAGAAGTATAGTAGTCTGGAAAACCAGGAGGTGTGCAAGTGTTGCCATCAACTCAAAAAGCTGAAAACATCTCATCACAGCAGAAATTGCCTCTTTTAGATATTAACAAGATTTAGTACATCGCGAAAGGGCTTGGAATGCAAAAATGGTCAGTGCCTGTGGACATCAAAGGTCAGTGATTAAAAATTGCCTGACTTGCCAGAAAGCTGAATATCAAATATAAACCTAACTTTACCGTGATTGCTAGATTCTCACGGTCAAGTCATTTCGAGAGTTTAGGAAAGCTGATTTGTTATTTCAGATAATACAGAGACTCCGATCTGCCCAAGGGCTATTACTGATCTGTGGGCCTGAACATATACTCAACAAGGGCCAGGTTAACATTCTCAAAGTCACAGGCAAAAGGCATAAAGATCTGGGGATTTTGTGCATGAACATCGAATCGTCAAAATGAGTTTCGTGGTTAATCATATTTTCTTCCACACCCCTGCTCTCTCCAGTGCTGGCATAATTTACTGGAAAACCAAAATGTTCACAAAGTACTGATTACGAATGATTGTGTCCAGCATTATGCATAACAAAAGAATTTAACATTTTTCTACTAATTAACATCAATCACTTAAGTAGCAGGACTAGTTGCATGTCAACTTCAGAGGTTTTTGTTGAACCACCAGCATCAAAGGTGCCTTTGTACTTGAGCTGGGCGATATGTCCTAAAAATAAAATCTCCGATTTTTTTCACAATAAATCCGATTTTCGATTTTAATCGATTTTCCCCTCCCCTACTCAAAATCAAACTACAGAGGACAAATACATGGTTCAAAACAAGTTTTAACTTATGAGTTAACTTAGAGTTAAAGTGCAATCTGACAAGCCAAAAAAGATGCTTGTAAGTGAGATGGCAGGCCACGCCATTGTAAACACTTTTAGAAACTTGTAAAAACTTTTATCATTTTAATGAATCCGGGCTTTTCCACAGTATGTATGGGCACCATGTCTTTTGCAAGACCATGTCCAACCCTAGACTGGAGACCGTAACAGAATATACATCACAACAGCGTTTGTTCTCGCCTTCCACCGTGCCCCATTCTTATCATACGGCACACAGTTCGAAAACGTGTCAGGGACGGTTGCTCGCTTAACTTTGGATGTTGTGCTGGTGCTGCGGGTATTTTCATTTCGCTGGGAGCTGCACTCCGCTGTGTGCCTCTGCTTTAGGTGCTGGAATATATTTGTCGTGCTGCTTCCTTTGGTTGCAACAGTTTTTAAAACAGACTTTGCAACGAGGACTTGTTTGGTCAGTGTCCGACGGCGCAAAACCGAACCATTGCCATGTTGTTTGTGCCGCGCTAATGTACCCGTGAAGAACGGTGCGTCGCATTAGTTCAGCTTTTGACGCTCACGTGTAAAATAAGTAATTAAATCAATTTTCATAAAAACATATCGTCCTGAACTGTAAATTTGAATTAATCGATAAAATCGATTTATCGCCCACTTCTACTTTGTACTGTCACCAAGAACCAAGCCGTACTGCAAAGTACAGCTCAGAATATGGCCTTTTTCTTTCAGATAATCCATGCATAACGGTGCAGAAGACTAGTACCTATGTGCATTTTGACCAATCAGGTGGTGCGGGCCCAAGCACCTCTGATTGGTCACGCTTTCGACCCTGCTAATATGCAGGGCCATGTCAGCATAGATGCGGCTTGCATAATTTATTTTGGAAAACCATCTGTCTGCGGTACAGCTTGGTTCTTGGTGGCAGTGGAAAAGCACCACAAGTCACCTCTGATCCTCCAGAAAAACACAAATAGAAATAGGATACAAAACTACATAGAAAATGACTCTCCAGGAACAGGGTTGGGACTAAACACGCACACACACACACACACGCGCGCACGCACGCACACTTGTACAAACCTTAACCATAAGTAACTAAACAAAATAAGAGACTTTTAGCATTTTTAGTTTTGTGATTGCAGTCACACATTTTTATGAAATTGAGTTTCCCACTTGAAGGGACTGGAAAAATGGTCCCCAGTAGGCTGAAATAACAGGTTTTCATCACATTGTAGGGACATTTGCTTTTATTTATTTATTTTAAATTTATATTATATTATATCCATCCATCCATTTCCCAATCCGCTTATCCTTCTGGGTCACGGGGGATTATATTATATATACACATATATAAAACACTCTCTCTCTCTCACCGCAGCCCACCCACACACTATATACAGTGGTACCTCAGTTCTCAAACTCATTAGAACTCGAATTTCTTAAAAGTCAAACCAACCAGTTCAAAAAAAAAAAATTACCTAGAGCTCGATCTGAATCTCAGAAGTCAAACCGCGAACGCCAACCTAAGATAACTTGTACGCACGGGGAAATGAGTCACGCGGCACGTCACTCAGCGGAAACAAAGGGTAACGCTTCAGTCTCAGCCTCGCATTCGCTGTGATAGCATCATGCATGTTTACACTAGCTGAATACATATGTTTAGACAGTAAAAATACATTTAGACAATGATAGACAGTAACAGTAATTATTATTATACAATAAAATACATTTAAAAAGAAAGATTTCTTATTCATTATTTTAATATCAACAATAAACCATTAATACATTTAATTATAATAATATTGTCGGGCCGAGCAGGAACAGAACGGAGACAAAGGCACAGACATCAGGGTATTGGGGAATATGGGGTTTAATTACAGGTAAGGCAGGCAAAACGCAGATGGACAATACAATGACCGGACTGGGGAAACAAACTGAAACGCAGACTAAATACAGAGAGCTAATAAAAACATCCAGAAACAGCTGATCACACGGGGATTCCACATGGGGTTAACGAGGGGGTGTGGCACACGGAAGGAGCGGACGATCAGGGCAGGACACATTGTTTGGATACATTTATTTTCTTACTTTACAAATTACTGTTTTGATAAATGTGCTTAGATGTGTTTAGTACAGTATATGCTCTTCTTGTTTTATCAGGTTCATTTTGTGTTTAAATGCTAAAAAAAAAAAAACATTTAGGTGTAATTTTTTGGGGCCGGGAACCAATTAATCTGTTTTCCATTATTTCTTAAGGGGAAAATTCGATCTGAACTCGAACTTTTTAGGATTCGATCTGGAGTTCTGAACAGATTAAGTTTGAGTTTCGAGATACCACTTTATATATATATTGGAAGCAAATGTGCGAGAAAGAACCGGCATCAGCTGGCACCATCGGCTGACTGAATACCTTTGAAAAGAGGCAGCTTCTGGAGCTCCCGGTTGTTGCTCAGGGTGAATCTGGATGAGCCAGGCCTCTTGTCCTTCCTGACGGAAGAATGCGAGCTGGACTGCTTGCCCTTTATCAACTGCGTCGTGGGTGGGAGGTGACTGCTGTTCTTCTGCCTCCAGCTCTAGAGGCAATAACAGAGGCGGATTAATGTTAGGATACCTCTAAATGGAAGGTCATGGGCCAAATGCAGACAGTGCGCAGTTCAACAGAAGACCTCAGTCAGCAGTTGTGTTAGGAGATTTAAATGCACCAGCTCCCAGCGGGAACAAGGACGGCCTCATTTTTGAATGCGCAGAGCACAGATTCTCCCTGCCCAATAACCGGCATTGTCATATAGACACAGAGCCTTTACAAGTACCGATTTTAACAAAATTCACTTAATCAGTCAATACTACAAATTCGCAAATTAACCAATAAAGCACACAGTTTCTCTCACACGCACATACACAGTGGGCAACTTATAAAAGGTCAATTCACCTTATTTTTGTACAGTGGGAGGAAATCAGAGTACCCTGAGGAAACCCACACAACAGGATAAGAATGGGCAAACACACAAACCGGAACCCCCCAACCTAGTAGGGATGAGGGGGCAGTGCTACACTACCTGACCAAAAGTATGTGGACACCTTAGCAGCACAGCTAAGTACTCGCTAAACATCCCTTCCCAAAACCAAGCGTACTACTATCCATGGAGAAGGTCCCCCTTTGCTGCTATAACAGCCGCCACTCTCCCGGAAAGGCTTTCCACTACATTTTGGAGTGCGGCTGTAGGAATTCAGCCACGAAAGCATTAGTGGGGTTGAGCACTGATGTCAGCTGCAGTCAGCATTCCATTTCATCCCAACGATGTTCATTGGGAATGAGGTGTAGCTCAGTGTAGGTCAGCCAAGTGTTTCCACACCAGCCTTGCAAAACCATTGATTTATGGACTGGGCACAGTGGCATAGTCATACTGGAAAAGGAAAGGGCATTCTTCAATCTGCTGGCACAAAGATAGAAGCACATAATTGTCTAAAATGTCTTTGTATGCTGATGAATTAAAATTACTCTTCACTGGAACTAAGGGACCTAGACCAAACTATGACAAACAGCCCCAAAGCACTCACACACTCAGACAGGTGCTCCTGGCATCTGCCAAACCCAAATTCATCTGTTAGACTTCCAGAGTGAAGCGTGATTCATCATTCCACTGCTCCACAGTCCAATGTGACATGTTTACACACTGATGCTTGACGTTGTGCACAGCAACATGGCCAAGGAAACGCAGACCATAAAGCTGCCGACAGACAGTTCTCGCACTGACGCTGCTTCCCGAGTCAGTCTGGATCTGCAGCAAGTGTCTCCACTGAGGAAAAGTGATGTTTCACACGTCATACGCTTCAGCACTTCGTGGTCTGTGGTCACCTGGTGCGGCCTGCCTCTTTGTGGCAGCGCTGTGGGTGCTCCTAGACATTTACACTTTATAACAACAGTACTAACAGTTAACCTTGACAGCAGTTTGACAAACTGATTTATTGTAGTGTTGCCATCCAATGATGGCACCATGTTTAAAGTCACTGAGCTCTACAGTAAAATCACATTATATTACCGATGTCTTTGGAGGCTGCATGGCTGCCCCTTTCATTTTATGCACCCATTTGCAAATGGATGTGGCTTACATAGCTGAATGCAATAATTGGAAGAGGCTTCTACATACTTAAAGCCAGGTAGTGTGCAGGCTGCAGCATTGTGACTGTGTGTGCCCTCTGACAGAATGCGCTCCTGCCTTTTGCTCTATGGTGCCTGGCAAAGAGTGTAGCCACACCTCCAGAACTGGATAAGTGGTTGGAAGATGAATGAACAGGCTCTTATCACAAGCTGAACTCTCATGAATTAGGTAAATGGGGAACAAAAAAAATAAATCACAAAGGGGCTTGTTAGAACAGGAGCTGATTTAACGTGAGGCTCAATATCGTTTATACTGTTGCAAATAAAAATAATGACTGCTGTAAAAATGGAATCACGACAGACTTTTCACTTAAGAGACCAAGATTGTAAATGTTCTTCCTGAAGTTAACATGCCTATAAACCACAGTACCTAATTTGTCCAACTCAAAATATTGTTCACTAGGTCCACTGTGGGAAGAACTTCAAGTTAAACTGCAATAAGTCTGACAAAACTTGTTAATGATGCAACTGCAAACGGCTTTCACTGAATATACACCGTCTTACATGAAGGCCAAGGTAGCACTTTGAATTAAATCATTGCAGTGCATTTAAACATTTACAATACTTCCTGCTATACTATTAATTCTATTATTTACTTTAGCTGCACTTTCAAATAACTGTGAAATGACCCATAATAAATAATCCTTCTAAAAAAAAATGCAAATCATGAAAATCCTGTGATTTAAGGATAAATGTTCATGGTCTTCAGGGAATACTAAACAACAGGGGTCTTGGCTCAGGTCACAATGAACAGTCATGTTTCCAGAATTTCTGTCTTTCCACCACAATGGACATTTTTGGACCAAATGATCCAAGAGTCTCTCTGTGGGTACCACAATAATATATCCCCATATACAACTGCATTATATTAAATCGCCAAAACAAACTTTATCACAAAAAATCTGAGACAGTTGTCCACAATCAATGATTTACACTCAACACAACTGGAGACGCACCTTAGTACAAAAATCTCAAGCAGGGGGGGAGAACATAACACATATACACATTCATAACTGAGGCTGGCCACACTGGGAGAAGCCTGTGGCTACGAGCTGCGGGACGGCGGGGTCGGACATCCACCCCGGCCCTTTCATAGCGCGAAAAGCCAGGCCTACGTCCAACACGTCTTCAGTCGGAAGCAGAAGCGTGAGCCGAAGCGAACTCGCCAGTGTTTAAGTCTGCAAACCCATGTAGATAAAAACCACGAGTGTGTATGTGACACAAGCGCACAGAACAGCATCCACAAACGGGAACCGTTCTTGCAAGAGCATATTTCTGCTCCTCACACGCAGATGGGGATAATAATAAAGAACTATGTTACTGGTTTATCTATTCAATATGCTGTACTTTTTAATCATCATTTTAGTGTGTACTCTTTTCATGTAATAAAAAGGAAAAAGCTTACTCTAAAACAATATGCCGTGTAACATACTGTGTGCAAGTACACTCCATGGTTCGGATCACAGCGAGCTCGGCTAACCTAGCCCCTAACCCAGGGGTGGGCGATCTTATCCGCAAAGGGCCAGTATATATGCGGGTTTTCACTGCAACTCATTATTAGATTACTAATTAGAGGACTGACTGGCTGAAGAGTCCTCACACCAGGGTTTGAACAGCTGACCTACAGGTTATCCCAAAAACCTGCACACACACTCGACCTCTGCGGGTAAGACTGCCCACCCCTGCCCTTAACCAAACAATATACAAGAATTTTGGCATTTTGGGCACTGCAAAATGCTTCTTGAGCGAACGTTATGATTGACAGGCTCGTGAGGTAACATACGGCAGCCCGGGTTGGGTAACCACCTCTGTCTTCCAGCAGATCGCAGCAGGACATTCTTGCACATTGGCAGAATATGAACCTAGCTATTTGCAAGTATGGCTAACATACTCTTTTGAACAAGAAGCAGAGTTGAACTAATATTGTCTGAACAGTATTAATGCCAATCTGCAGAGAACAGCAGCACTTACCGAGCCAGGATACAGAAATAGTTTAATGAAGGACCATTAATTCTCCATGATTTCTTGCCCGTGGAAAGGCCCAGTGATCCCACAGAAACCAGCGCACTACAAACACCATACAGCAATTCTAATTTGACAGTAGTGCCCCATTAATATCTAGACCAAGTGGTTCAGAATTAATTAAGGACTCTGTAACCCCAGTGATTACTTGTGTCATAGCACAAAGACAGACACAAGCTGCTTCATTAAATAGCCATCTGTGTGACTGAGGACAATGTGAAAACTACTTTGATGAAAAGCAGCCACGAGGCAAAAACAAGGAGCAAAGAAGTGTGGAGGCACCTCAAAGCTGACACACATGTAGGGAATATAACGGAAATGTAACAAAGATGGATAGAAAATCACTGAGTGCTCTAGCAGAAAGGCATTCATACATTAAACAGGCAAAAGTACGGAGCATTAAGCAGGGGTGGTTCTAGGGTGAGAAGATATCATGCTTTAGCTTAGAAACAGTGTCTGCCTTTGTGGTCTTAAGGTGCCCTGCGTTAACACTACAATTCAAACAAGGCAATTAAACGTGGCTTGTTTAGGCATTTCACTTAAGTGTATCACGTGGACACCCAAAGCGGTAATTGCACGCCCACATCATACAGCTCTCCAAACACGAAAAAACCATCCTCTGCTGCATTTACAAATTAGCCAAACTCTTCATTTACCTCGTTCTCTGTTTCTTGTGCATCTTTGTTTCCAGTTTTGGCCACTTTTCCTGATTTTGTAGTTTCCTGAAACAAATGGTTTCTGTAAGATCTCAAAGTCAGAAGGAAGATACGGACATTAAATCAACCCACTGATTCTGGGACCGAGTTCGCGTGGACTTGCCAGTAGCAGTGCAGAGTGTCTCACATTGTAGCTTTTCTCATTTTAATGATTTTGTATTACATTACTTTCGATGTGAATGGATACCATCACCCTCATTTTAACCTCCCCCCCCCCAAAAAAAAAATCAAATTCAAGTAACATCTCATCCACTGTCCATCTGTATTATAAACCATTAGTTATATAATCCACCAATTAAATTATCATTACCATAATGTTTTTCCTCATCTCAAACTTGGAGGGTACAGTACAAAAAACGAACATAAGCTTGTTCGTTAGCTAGATGGCTATGTGGAAAACTGCACATTCTGGAAAGTCCCATTATTGCACCAAAAAGTTAATGCAAAAAAAAAATCACATCCGCGAAAAGGATCAGATGTCTGATTTAACAATTTAGATACCTATGTAATGCAGACTAACTTACCTGGTAATCTTTGCCCATTCTGCTAGCTACAGATGATCTAGCACAAAACGAACTAGCCAGTAGTTGGCTAACTAGTTACCGTAATCAAGTTTACCGTAAACCCTTATAAGCGTGAATATTTCCAAACTTGCAGAGTGATAACACGCTATACATTCACACCCCCTATAAACTCAGAGCTAAACATTACAATTAAAAAAGAAGCACATTATGACTCTGAGATTACCGGTTACCGGCTACTACAGACATCCCCGCAGAGTCGTCTAACGTTAGGCCTCATTCATCCATTTGCTCCTTTTACCATGTAAGCATTCAACTCCATATTTGAAAGAAATGTTTAACATAAAAAAATAAAATCACATAAACATCCAACCAACCTTCTCCTTTTTCATTTTATTCGGCATTGCGGATTTTAAAACCGTCCCTCTCGCCCCTGTCAATCCTCTCTCGAGTCCGCGGTACTAGTCACTGACTGCAGCGGTTCTTTTTCTCCGGCCCAGTTGATTGGCTGCTGTCGGTCAGGTGACCGAACCTGTAGTGGGCACGCTGACAGGAGAGAGACATGACCTGGTTCCACCAGCCGCCGTAGATACTTGGTAGCCATCCTGATTTCGCTAACTTGCGACTTTCCGTGCATGCGTGTCCTGCTGAAGGATAACTTCCATTGTGAAATTATCACGATTAGTTGAAAAAACGAACTTTATTACCGGTATAACACTACGAAGTTACAAACAAACAATAGTCTCGTAAAGTTAACTATGAACGCAGTAATGCATGGATTTTCACTCAGTGCGTATAACTACCATGATTGTTAATCCTAAGGTAAAATGTGCCATGGAGCGTTTAAACATTTACCATTTACATCTATGGGTGAAAACGTGAGCGAACTGCAGGTTAATGGCTTTACGCACAAAGTAGAGTTACATATTGCTAATAGCGAGAGTAAACTAGTGTACCGGTTATATTTTATAGCCAGTGTTGCATTGATGCAAATATTTTATCCCTTTAGTTGAAGCAGACCAATGTCGCGTTGTAGACGGTGGTAAGAAAAAAAAGAACTGTCTTAGTTTTTGGTATTTGCTACACAGCACTCCCACCTAGTGGCATATCGATGCTACATTTCTAACAACACCCCATAACCCAAACTTACACAAATTTAAGTCTCTGTCGCTTTTGCTTCCGCAGGTTCCAGGGATATGCTCAGGAATCCTGCGACCCTGGATAGGTTAAGGGGGGGAGAAGGGTGTACAGAATACTGTTGGATGGACGAAAAGTCTCCCCTATTAAATGTATTGTAATGGGCAAGACTTACTAAGCTAAGGTACTTACAATCAAAACATATTTTAATAGATCTTCCAAGTTGTGAAATAATTTAAAAGCAAAGCACCTTGACAAGTGCAGAGCCAATGCATGCAGTTAGAATGTACCATTCATTTTAGTTCAATATTTTTAAAGAAAAAAAAACTCCATACATTCCTTTAAATATCCAGTAGTGAAAGTTTAATGCATACCACAGTGGGGATTCAGTACTGTATTCTCGAAATGCTTGTCCAACTCGCTCAAATAAATGGCAGACTTTCGGATTCTGAAATTTTATTTGTTCTGGTACAACCATTTCAAATCTCTAAATTGCCATTATACAATGCATTCATGGCACACAGGAGACCATACTGGAATGTCAATAAATAGAAGATGTCAAGAACTAGACAGAAACAAGAGCAGTCAGGTGAGATGTCCTCCCACGCATGGCACTGCCAGAGATCCAAGATGTACAGGGAACAAAAGGAAGCATTCTCAGAGAATGTGCATTGCAACAGACATTCTAATTATTTACAGTTCTACTGCGAACTTGGTCTTTTACTGTAGCTCTAATCTACTTCCTCCATCCTGGAGGCATCATCATCTCCTTCCAGTGGGGGCATGTCTTCAACAGGAGCAGAACTGCTTTCATCAGTGGTCAGATCATCCTCATCAATTCCTGCAAAGGGAACATGGTCTATCTTGAGTCAAATCAATACAGCTGCATTTAACGTGTGTGTGTGTGTGTGTGTGGAGAAACAAGCATTCTAGGCATATTGTCATTTCATTGATAGAACATTGCCAGATACTAACAAAATGAGGCAATTAAGTGACTATACAAAATTGTTCATTTAGGCCTTTCAATACATGGTGCACTACAGCTACATATCTACAGGAATTTTCTTGCACTCACCCAACCCCAGCTTGATCATCCTATAGATACGGTTGGAGTGAGTCTGAGGGTCATCCAATGTGAAGCCAGAAGACAGCAACGCAGTCTCGAACAGCAGAATGACCAGGTCCTTCACAGATTTGTCATTCTTGTCAGCCTCCGCCTTCTGTCTGAGGGTCTCAATAATAGGATGGTCTGGATTTATTTCCAGGTGCTTCTTGGCAGCCATGTAGCCCATAGTGGAGTTGTCTCTCAGTGCCTGTGCCTTCATGATCCTCTCCATGTTGGCCGTCCAGCCATATGTGCTGGTTACAATGCAGCAAGGAGAGGAGACCAGCCTATTGGATACTGTAACCTGTTCAAGAATATTCAAATGAACATATTTAAAGTCGAAGGTGTTCACAAGGCTTTCCGTTTCAATACATTTCATGTTTAGATATTCAAGCACAAGACGTCTTTGCTCACCTTTTCCACTTTCTTCTCCAAAATGTCCTTCATGATCTTGCAGAGGTTCTCAAATTTGCTCTTAAGTTCTTCCTGTTTCTTCTTCTCCTCCTCATCCTCAGGAAGTTCCAAACCCTCTTTTGTGACTGACACCAGGTTCTTGCCCTCAAACTCCTTCAGCTGCTGGACACAGTATTCATCAATGGGCTCGATCATGTAGATCACCTCAAGACCTGCCTTGCGTAGGCGTTCCACGAAAGCAGAGTTGGCCACCTGATCCTTTGTTTCTCCTAAGGAAAGATTTTGATTATGATTTGGCTTAGATTTTCAAAAATCAGACTTTACGTTTACATTTATTAGCGGACAGTTTTATCCAAAGCAACATATATTTGAGAAAAAGCAGGGTTAGACCAGCCCCTGAGCAAGGTCCTTAACCCCCAGTTGCTTCAGGAACTAACTGTGAAATCATTCTTCCAAGACGGGATTCAAGCCAGCAACCTTCTTCACAGGCACAACATGCAAACTCACTCAGCCACACCCCCTCATCCCCAAGTAAAACCATATAGGGCAGGGGTCTCCAACTCCGGTCCTGGAGAGCTACTATCCAGTAGGTTTTCTATCCTACTTGGCTTCTGATGAGCGACACCTGTTCTCAGGTAAATACCAGGAGCAGGCGTGGCTCATCAGAAGCCAGGTAGGATAGAAAACCGACTGGATAGTAGCTCTCCAGGACCGGAGTTGGAGACCCCTGATATAGGGTTTTGTGTTGTTGGAAATCGACTGCTCCTTGAAGTGCACTTTTCAAGCAGTGGCTCACCAGTGATGTAGTAGATGTGCTTCTGGTTGTCCTTCATCCGAGTGACGTAGTCCTTAAGGGAGACCATCTCATCCCCTGATGCGGAGGTATAGTACCTTAAGAGCTCAGAGAGTTTCTTGCGATTTTGAGAGTCTTCATGTATTCCAAGCTAAAAAAAAATTAATTAAAAAACAAATTCATAGACAGCAGATAACCAGACATTCCTTTAGCCTACAACTAAATTATTTAACATAGGGACCACATTTTCAGTCAAGTCCTAAAAAAAAAAAAAAAAAACTGGCGTAACTGTGCAGAGAGAAAATTATACATTAGATATGTCGTATTTAAGGTACCTTCGTTTAAATGGTCTTTATCTTAGTTCACTTACAATTAGCCCGAACTACCGTAAAATCCGACAAATAATCCGACTAATCATGAAATCCAGTTCTAGCCCGGTTAATTGCCATTGTTAGCAATATCAGTTGATAACACATTACGTGCGGTGCTTTACGTATAAAACTCCGTAGCAACACGTCCACAGATAAGTTGGACGGTATAGTGTGTGCGACCGATTTAATGAGCCACAAATGAGAAGTAGTGCTTAAACAGGATAAAACTACAACTTTCCCTTCTATTGATAAAAGGCGCAGCCATCTTCGATTCTGAACTCGGGATCCTCTGTGCTGCTCCGAGATATTTCTCAGATCTCCGAGAAATGGGAGCGCGCATGTCGTCACTTCCGGCTTCAAAACTCGGAATCCGAGTTCCCAGGGCAAATGGAATTAACCAAAACTGCCCGAAATGGGTTGACAGAGACATTTCTGGGATTTTGAGTCATTCTGCGCTGCAGATGGGTTAATTGCGTTAAAAAATTTTTATCAGATTAATCATGATGATTGATTAATCCACGTTAACCCATTAATTTTGACAGCCCTAATATATGTACATCTTATTCAATGCCACCATTTTCTGCATTGTCAATTTAACTTCTAGTGGAACCAAACAGCAGGTTAAAATTAAACTCAGAAAAACCAGCAATGCAGTCATGAAACCTAGCTACGTGACAGCTGCCGAAATAGCAGGATCATTAAAACAATACACCAGTGGTTGTGAAGGCATGCAGGCTCAAAGCTGCAGAAGTTCTGCACTCTCACAGGTTTTGCCAACCAGTAAGTTGAGAAACTAACCTCACCCTTTTTCAAACTGTATGGCAATTAATTGCATAAATTTCACATTGAATGGTAACCACCTCACTGACACATATTGCAGATGCAGTTTAGTCCCCTGGAGGCATTAATGAGTTTACTTGCCCACTTGTCCCTCTATATGTGCGTCTTCTCTACTCTTATGTCCCTTATATGTACGTGCCCTGCTCACAGTCTGGAACTCGGAAATAGAGCATTTCACTGCACATTGTACTGAGCATAAGTGTACGACAAAACTGCAGAATTCAGAAACTGTACCTGAACTGTCAAAACCAATATGAACTATTCATTTCATTAAGTACTGTGAGCAAATAATTTAGGTTGATTTAGGGAAAGGAAAAAAAAAAAAACACCACCATCTGGATCTGGTTTGCATGTCAAGGGCCTAACCTTGATGTTCTTGGAGAACTGCTCATAATATTTCTTGTAGTTGTCCTTGTCTTCGGACAGCTCAGTGAAGAGCTCCAGGCACTTCTTCACCAGGTTCTTGCGGATCACCTTCAGGATCTTACTCTGCTGCAGCATCTCTCTGGAGATGTTNGACAGCTCAGTGAAGAGCTCCAGGCACTTCTTCACCAGGTTCTTGCGGATCACCTTCAGGATCTTACTCTGCTGCAGCATCTCTCTGGAGATGTTCAGAGGGAGGTCCTCAGAGTCCACAACACCTTTGATGAAATCTGTACAGGAAAAACAAAATAAGTTTTCATCTACCAGCACCTCATAGAGATGAGCCTTTTCTGTACATGACTGTAGATGAACATTCAACTCACTGAGATACTCTGGGATGAGCTCTTCACAGTTATCCATGATGAAGACTCTGCGCACATATAGCTTGATGTTATTTTTCTTCTTCTTGTTTTCAAAAAGGTCAAAAGGGGCTCTTCTTGGAACAAAGAGCAGAGCCCTGAACTCAAGCTGGCCCTCTACGGAGAAGTGCTATAGTAAAAACAGAACACCATTCTAAGTATCAGAAGACACATTCCTAAGGAGCTTGACGAAAATGTGTCAAAATAGTATTGTAAAATAACAATGTTTAAGTGACGCCACAATTGTTCAATTCTTGACCAGCCCCAGCACATGCAATGTCCTCAAGTGGTGCCTTTTATAGCCTGAGAAGCATCTGTATTGCTTTAAAAGTATCCTCCAAAGTTTAGTGGTTTCCTGTAGCCCTTCATCCCTTTATAGAATTTAAATTATTTCTACACAAATAAACCTGCACACCAACCTTTACAGCCAGGTGGTCCTCCCAGTCATTAGTCAAGCTCTTGTAAAACTCCCCATACTCCTCATTGGTGATGTCATCTGGATTACGGGTCCAGAGGGGCTTAGTTTTGTTGAGCTCCTCTTGGTCAATGTACTTCTCCTTGATTTTCTTCTTTTTCTTCTTCTTATCAGAGCTCTTCTCCTGCTCCTCATCCTCATCAGAGCCCACATCTTCAATTTCAGGCTTGTCCTCATCACTTTTCTTGTCTTCCTCCCCTTTCTCCTCCTCTTTCTCTTCTTCATCATCACTGACCTCTTTGTCACGCTCTTTCTCCACCTGCATAGATCAAAATGGAATTAGGTCAGACAGGTACAAGGCAGAATTCAATTTTCATGGACATGCAGTCATTCGCTCTTCATCATGCTTCTCAATGTCAGTTTCCACAAGTAATTATGCAACCACTTACAAAAAGTGTGATGGGGTAGCCAATGAACTGAGAATGTTTCTTCACAATCTCTTTCACCCTTCGTTCCTCAAGATATTCTGTCTGGTCCTCCTTCAAATGTAGGACCACCTTTGTTCCACGGCCCAGAGGTTCAGCTAATAGGAGAAAGAACAGTCAGGTTGTGTCCACCACATATCTTGCATACCTAATCACAGTTAGATGTGAAATATCCTTACATGTATCCACTTTGACAGTGAAAGATCCTCCAGCAGACGACTCCCAGGCATACTGCTCATCATCATTGTGCTTGGTGATGACAGTCACCTTCTCAGCCACCAGGTAGGCCGAGTAGAAGCCCACACCAAACTGTCCAATCATAGAAATATCAGCACCAGCTTGCAGGGCTTCCATGAAGGCTTTGGTCCCGGACTTAGCAATAGTGCCCAAGTTGTTGATGAGGTCAGCCTTCGTCATCCCAATGCCAGTGTCAATTATGGTCAGGGAGCGGTCTTCTTTGTTCGGAATGACGTTAATTTTCAAATCTTTTCCAGAATCCAACTTAGAAGGATCTGTGAGGCTCTCATATCGGATTTTGTCCAGAGCCTAACATTCAGAAAAATGTTTAAGGTTTAGCCCAAAGTAATTCTTGTTCAGTAAGAGAAAATATATAATACTGCAGTAGTACAACAACTAATAGGAGCAACTAAGCAAATACATCACTGAAAAACTAAAATATTTTAAAAGTTCCAAACACCTCCCCCATTACACGATGCATACGGTCCCCTTTCTCTTTAGTTGAGGAGGGGTGAGGATCATGGATACAGCAGAATACAATGTTATACTTTCCACACCCTTAGACTTTTTTGGCTTGTTGTGCAGCACAAACTTTGCACCTAGAAGAGAAATACTCACATCTGATGAGTTAGAGATAAGCTCTCTTAGAAAGATCTCCTTATTGGAATAGAAGGTGTTGATGATCAGAGACATCAGCTGGGCAATCTCTGCCTGAAAGGCAAAGGTCTCCACCTCCTCCTCCATGGGCTGATCATGTGCTTCAGGCATCTGTACATGCAGAACACAAAGAGACACCAGCTAACCATCTGGACACTAGACTATGCACAGTCATTACCCAAACCAGTGCATTCATTTTAGCCTTTGCAGTCTGAATTCACCAGTAAAATACAGTATCCTTACATTAAGCTCTGCAAAAGCAATCACCTTCCAAGTGACATACTGCAGACATAAAGGAAAGTTTGAGATATGCTTTAACTGGAGATATTTTAAAAACCACAGTGCACACACACTTATCACATTAACTCAGTGACTCAAGGTGGATTAGTACAATCTCATCTTCTACAGCAAACCCATTAAACCCATACCTCACAAATGTGCATTTATCCTGGCTTGTCATTAACATTTCTTAATTTTAGCATTCAACATATATTGTTAGAAGTACAGTGATTTTTTTTTCTTTGAATGACCCTGCATAACCTTGTAAAAAGGTCACCTCTTTGTCTCTACACAAGATCCCCAAATGTCCATTCTCTTTTTAAAAGTTAAAACAGTACTAAAAAACACTAGACACATTTATTTTCATTGATCACACTATATTCTGACAGGACTTATCGAATGCTGTTATTCATGCATTAGCATGACTGCTGAATATAGGATATGGTGTCAAGGGACATTAATGTTAATCGTTATTGTAAATCAATATTAGCCGCCTTCTGAATGCCAATAAGTAAGCCTTGGTAGGTATTTATGATTAAGTCAATCTGAATTAGCGACAGCAATTAGGTACCAACAAGATAATACTGCCACAAAACGACAGTGATTTCATATCAGTTGCTATATTAATCACAACGTGGTTGCATGGATTATTCTGGAATCCCGTGTACGCCAAACCTCAAACAATTGAGACTGCGTAAGTCTTGCGCCGCCCTTCGAAGAAGGTTGAGAACAACTACCTTCTAGAACCTACTGGATAGTAACATGCCTATTGATAAGAAGGAACCATTCTTAATTATTACAAAAAAGCTCGATCTAGGTATTGGACGATCTAAAATATGGATAGTTATTTAGCGTAGGGTCAAGAGGGACGAAACCTGATATTTGGCCAGCAAACAAATGACCCTTTCATTACTGGATGCCGAGCTAAATATTTTACCGGTTTTGCAAATTAACATAAGGAAGGTACATTAGGTCCCAAATCCAAGTTAATATCGTTGCATAAACTACTGATAACATGGACTAATAACCAAGATATTTTTGTTCTTTTTTTGCGCAAGGTAGTCAGTGGGGTCTTCCACATCATACGGCACTGAAATCCAATTCGGCAGGCAGCTCATTCTAAAGACAGCAGTCTTTTGTAATTGCAATATAAAATTAAAACAACCACAGGAAAATAGTTTAAATAATTGAATAGAAACGGCTGACAAAGAACGTGGTCAGGGAGCGACACCATCCGTATTATTCTTTACGGCTAATTTAGTCTATACACTGGCAGCGGGTAATAGGTGACCATCTAAAGGAATTACATTTTAGGAGCTCGCCTATGTGCAAAAATAACCATCGCAGTTTGATAGCATAACACAGGCAAACACGTGAACAATAAAATGAGACAAATGGCCATAATTCGTGAATAATGTTACGCACATTTCTTACCTTGCAGGTTGGTAAAGGATTCTAGTTTAATGTGGTTTCGGTTATTTAATTACTAATTCGAGGAAAACCAACCATTCCTCTCGACCAGACGTCGAAGTGAGAACGATGCTGGCTCGGCCGCTTCCGCTTAAATAGCCGATGCCACCTTCGCCAGAGACTTCCAGAAAGCGCGGCGGCTTCCAGAAGCGTCTAGAAGCTTCCTCTCCGCCAGCGCAGCAGGGAGTGGGAGCCGAGGCCGCCAATCACGGACGGCCTCTTTCTGCGAGTTAGCGGCTACGCCTTCTTCGCTTAAAAGTGACAGGACTTAGCGAGTCGTTATTCTCAGTGTCGTCATATTGGGTGGAAATAAGAGCATTTTATGCGCTCATTGCTGACTGGAAGTGTTCCGAGGTGGTAGCTAGGTTGCGTTGGAATCTGTGGATTCATTTCAAAGAGTAAAGCACAACATAAATATCGACTATATTAATAATTAATAGGTGTGGGTAACAAGCATGAACCCATTCGCGACCTATTAGAATTACACTAAATTAAACGATAATTTCCACTCAAAGCAATAAAGGTTTGTTATATTATAATTTATATTAGAATTATAATTCAGCACCTACGGCTACATTAAGCAGCTATGAAGTGGTTGAGGTTATTGCCAGAAAGGGAGCTCCGATCGTTCCTAAATATTTCACATAACTTTCCCATCGGTGATCCGGGTCGTATACTGCACAGCATTTGTCCAAAAAGGTACAGCGCGTGTGTGTGTGTGTGTGTGTGTGCGTGCGTGCGTGCGTGTGTGTGTGTGTGTGTGTGTGTGTTAAATTCGACTGCATATTGCTATTTTTGATTATCGTAACTTAATGATGAAAATCATATCCCACTTGAGAAACTATCCCTGCGGAATTCAAAATAACTCCAAAGGGTTCACAAATGGTATATATGCACAGACGAATGTATATAAACAACTTTATTTAAAAATCTTAATATGTTAGATATAAAATGCTCCCTGGATATGAAGTCACATGTCATTTTTTTCATGCAAAATGTATCTAAAATGTACTCTAAATAAAATGAAACATTTCCTTTTAACAAGGGAAACATGCCATCAAATCATGAATGCATATTAAAGGTCTATAGGCTCAGTTGTACATTAAATTATTTGGTAATTAATTAGAAATGGGCACAATTAACTAGATTAAAAAAAACAAAAACTTTTTTTTTTCCTTTTCAATTTTACTTTCAATCAACTTCCTCCATCCGTGAGGTGCCGTCTTCTCCCTCCAAAACAGGCATGTCCTCCTCACTGGGCTGAGAAAGATCCTCCACAATTGTTTCATCATCGTCGATTCCTAACATGAAAAATGCCAGAAGATAAACATCAAAATACTCTTCTTGTACTAAAATAACATGTGCTCTAGGAAATAGGACATTTAACTGGTCCACTGTTAAACAGGACTAAGATATTAAACTAAGACATGGGAAAATCTATTTTTCTGACAACATGAACTAAAAATTTCATGCAGGAATTGAATACTTACCCAGGCCAAGTTTAATCATCCTGTAGATGCGGTTAGCATGTGTCTGAGGATCATCCAGCGTGAAGCCTGAGGACAACAGAGCCGTCTCAAACAGCAGGATCACCAGGTCTTTCACCGCCTTGTCATTCTTATCGACCTCCGCCTTCTCCCTCAGGGTCTCCACGATTGGGTGCAGGGGGTTGATTTCCAGATGTTTCTTAGCTGTCATGTAGCCCATAGTGGAGTTGTCTCTGAGAGCTTGAGACTTCATGATCCTCTCCATGTTGGCAGTCCAGCCGTAGGTGCTGGTGACAATGCAGCAGGGGGAGGAAACAAGGCGGTTGGAGACGACAACCTAGAAGTGGCAAGAAAAAGCAAAAGATTAATAATGCACAAGTGTTCACATGAATCTTGATGGTCTACATGTTTGTTCTCACAGAAATGTTACACAGAAATCACACAACCAACGTAAACAAATTTTGCACCTTCTCAATCTTTTTTTCCAAAATATCCTTCATGATCTTGCAGAGGTTCTCAAATTTGCTCTTGAGTTCTTCCTGTTTCTTCTTCTCCTCCTCATCCTCAGGAAGTTCCAATCCCTCTTTTGTGACTGATACCAGGTTCTTTCCATCATACTCCTTCAGCTGCTGGACACAGTATTCATCGATGGGCTCGATCATGTAGATCACCTCAAGACCTGCCTTGCGCAGACGCTCCACAAAAGCAGAGTTGGCCACCTGCTCTTTTGTTTCCCCTTGAGAAGAAATTTAAGATTGTAAGTTAAAATACAGTATTTATCTTATATAAAGATATAAAAAAAGAATGACTGATTCCAAATGTGCCTGTACCTGTAATGTAATAGATGTGCTTCTGGTTGTCCTTCATACGAGATACATAATCCTTAAGAGATACCATTTCATCTGCGGAACTGGAGGTGTAGTAACGTAGCAACTCAGACAGCTTCTTGCGATTTTGGGAATCTTCATGAATGCCCAGCTGAAGCAAACAGTTATTGAGCTTTAATAAGCCCTGAGCACAGGTTTGTAGAAAAAAGTACAGACAACCGTAGTACAAATTTTCTCACGTTACCTTAACATTCTTGGAGAACTGCTCATAAAACTTCTTGTAGTTGTCCTTGTCCTCAGACAGCTCAGTGAAGAGCTCCAGGCACTTCTTCACCAGGTTCTTGCGGATCACCTTCAGGATCTTACTCTGCTGCAGCATCTCTCTGGAGATGTT